AACTAATATGTAGCTCCCACTGTATTCACAGTAGCATTTCTCCTCAAAATTGTTAAGTAATATAAATGAAAGCTATTTAAATTATACAATTCCTTTGGAATAAAAACAAGATGCATAATTATCTGTGCACCTTTTCATCAGTGTCCTCATAACATGGTGTAACTTGACACCGCTACCGCATTCCGGGTCGAGTGACAGGTTCTTTATCGACGTTATATAACTACGTGCGATGTTTTGAGATTATCAATGTGAAGCTACTTTCGTAGAGGCTGGGTATCGGATGGGTGACCGGATTTTTTTATCTCTAGCTCGTTTTTATTAGTTTTCAAGAGTTCAAATTCCCTTTTCAATAAAAAAATGTTATTTATTAATTTATCGTGACCTTAATTTATAGCTCTCGAAAAAAGTATCATTAATGTGTAAATTTTTACTTATTTAGGACAAGCACTATTCCGCAATTTCCCCCTCGTATATAATAATTATATAATAAGCTCGGTGGCGTAGTGGATAAGCGCCGCGGCCCGCGATCGTAGTCGTTAAGCAACTTTCGCAAGGGTCGGTCACGGGATGGGTGACCAAAAAATTATTATCTCTAGCTACTCCGTGCTTCGGAAGGCACGTTAAGCCGTTGATCCCGGCTGCATTTGCAGTCGTTAATACCCTCCAATCCGCATTGGGCCAGCGTGGAGGGTCATGGCCCATCCTCCTTAACCATCCATAAGGAAGGCCTGAGCCCCTGCAGTGGGGACGTAAAAGGGCTGGTAATGATATAATAATTTATGTCATGACGTAGCTTCCCGTAGGTGAGAGAATTTATAAAATCGCTTCAGTAGTTTCGAAGCCTACACGATGCGTATAGATATTAAATATTAGTATGGACACGTTAGAATGGGTGCTAAACCCATTCTAACGTGTCCTCTTCAATTTAATAATAAATTGGAACAATAATTTCTAGAAGGAAACAATTTTTTTTTTATCTATGTAGACACTGTGAATAATGATTGTTAATCATTCAAATAACAATTGCCTTCCAAATAAATGATTTCACATTAGACATCTATAGAAATTCATGTAATATGACGTTCAGAAATGAACAATTCATTTACATAAAACTTAATATAACTTTTTATAATACATGATAGTTATTTTTATGATATATCGATGACAAACTTTAATTAGTTTATTTTATTTTCATTCTTTGGTCATATGATCTTCTTTAATTATATTAGCGTCTATCTGTTATCGTTATCAATATCGATATTTATTTTATTCTGTTTTTTAGTAGAAATACATAATCTGTGAAAATTTCAACTGTCTAAGTTAAACGGTTCATTCTTTAACTGTCACAGGCAAACTAAATAAACCTTTATATCCTTTGGTAGTAGGTTTCATTTGACAGAACCTCTCGTTGTCAAGTTCGAGTCCTCGATGTCAAGTATGTTTTTACAATAATAGCTGTTTTCTGACGACTTCGCTTCTATATCAATCCCGTAAGATGTAGGCTACCAGAAGGTTCAAGTCTAGTAGTTTCGGAGCAAAGGATTCAAACAACAAATAACCAAGTATTTCCTCTTTATAATATTAGAATGTGGAACTAGCATGATGTTTCATGGGGTTTATAAATATGGCTGTATTATTGTCATATTCCCCATTTCATGTAGCCATCATCGTTGCATTAATTTGTTGGCTATAACATTATTTACATTAACATTACTTATGCAACGATGTTTTTTTTTCACTGTCAGTCCGATTCTGTCACGCCAGTTTTACAAATATCATGAGATGTTTGAATTTTACAAATCTTTAATTATAGAAGAACATAGGAATAATGTTTCTCAAGTTAATTGCTATTGCAAAAGTATCGTGACATTATACGGAGAACCGAGTGTTGTTGAAATAAAGACGGTATATCGATAATAGTTATTGAAGTGTCGATAGAAAATAATATTAAGTTTTTATCATAACGATTATAAGATTTTTTATTTTTTTTATTTATTAGGATAAACAGTGACAGATTAAATAATTTATAAATGTTATATCAATGGAATCGTTAATACTCTTTGAAGTATTTTTATATGACAATAGTTTTTTTACAGAATGATAGAATCGTATCGGTATTGTCAACAGTGCTGTCTTTAATTTCGTAGTTCAACACTAATTTTAATAATTTGTTTTCAACTCACAACACATGAATCTAACATTATAATAATTATTAACATGATCGCTACCAAAATCATATTGTTATATAAGAAATATGGTTAGGCTATTTTATTTGTAGTCATCGTTATAAATACTTAAATCAAAACTATCCAAATGATATTATAGATTACTTGTGAGGAAAACAAATGTTCGAGAGTTATGGTTAGTGACTGCTTTTCAATGTTATCTATCGATAGTGAAACTATGGCTATACCGACAACACTACGCCGTATTAATTAAAACGGACGTGTCATACCGATGGTAAGACGATGCGGAAGATGCGCTTGCTCTGCGTGATGGACGCAAAAACGCATAACTACCGTGCGTCATGTGAGACTTGGTTTAGTGATGGGCGAGTGAAAATATACTTATAACGCGTATAAATTAAAATAACACCTCAAGGCCTATTCTATTTGTCTTTGAACGAAAGTTTGGGAAATTTCGAATCATTCTTATATTGTTAAAATCACATAAGTGATTATTATAATCGCACAAGAGGCAGTGTCAGGTTAGGATAAACGGAGGTCGGCCTCCGTTGCATCATAAATTATATCGAAAAATGCGATTCTTTGGAGTCGTATTGGCATTTCAAAAATATACGAAAAGTAATTTTCGCAAAAATAAAGTAAGATTTCAGGTATCATGTTTATTTCACGAGTGGTATTAATTTGAAAAGAAAATAATTTTTAACAGTAACTGAGTGGATGTATCATGTAATAAACAACCGCCATATCAAATTCTGCTTTGTAACAATACATTTAAAAAAATGAGTCTATTTAATGACTTCGTAAACTTATCAAAATAAGAGACTCTGATAGATTTTTTAAAAATGAAAATAGATAAAATACTTTGTTTACGGTCCCAACACTAGTAAGCTGACTATAGCTTCGTAACGAAAGATTACGGCGTATGAAGAAACACGTCTGGCTAATCTGCTTCAAGTACATTATATCAGCGGTGGTCAGCGAACGGTAGATTTATGAAGTAACTGCTGGTTATGATGTTCAGAACATGTCAATTAAAAACTTTTTGCTCCCCATAAATAATGTTACACTAACACCTAGACACGCGATGCAACCACGTGACACCTTGTTGTGAACTTTTGGTTGATTTTGACATTTGAAACGATTTCTTTATTTAACCACTGACAAAAACCGACCAAAGCGAGTCGTACTCCCGCACGTAGGGTTAAAAACGAGTAAAACTTGATAGTTTTTTGATTCTTCTCGTCGGTCGCATAACGTCACAATTGACAAATTCAACGCATACCTTCTTGATGAAAGCTGCGTCGCGTGCTAACACATACTTTCGTGGATAGGACGGCTTTTCCGTTAGATTTACACCAAAGAATTGACCAGGCCCGGATCTAGGATCGCCAGTGTTAGGGGGCACCAAAATCCTAATAATCTAATACAGTAAAAAACTAGCTTCATATAATGTCTTTTAATAAATTCATAGACATAGGCTACGATGGCACGGATATCGTTCCAAAGTTTCTAAATTAAATTATACATTGCGAAAAATAGGGTAATAATAGTAATGATAGCCTCCTTTTAACCTCCTAATCTAACCTAACCTACCCCTCGTAGAGGCGCAATATCAAGTTTCTGCCCCGGTTGGGAAAAGTTGTATATCCGGGCTTGGAATTGACTTCAAAATCAACGATAGATGTATGAAGTAGGGCTTCCAATTCCGCAGCCTTTCTAAATACATGTCGGTATTGTATGATCTCAGTATTTGCGAGATCGCGCATATAGAAAATGAATGATAAATCCAATACAAAGATTCTTCAAGGATCCAAAACATTTAAAATAGTTTTCATACCTAAGCCTAATAAATAGTCCATAAACTCGCTTGAGAGACCTTTACTTAAAGATTAAACCCATGTTCTCTCTAAACGATTTTATTTATTATTAAAGTACTAATAGGTAACTAGCAATCAAGTACTATAAAAGTATAATACTATATTCTTTAACATACAGACGGGCAGTTCTGTTTTAATATTTTCACTGTCAAGTTTATAAGTAGCTATGAAATAGAAAATAGTTTTGAAGATATTGTGGTGCTTTATTTATTACATTGCAATATATGGTTTTTGAATGTGATCCTTAATTTATAAAGATACTTGGACATAAAAATAACGATAAAAAATTTACAAAAAATTGAACCGCCTAAGTGCGTATCGGACTTGCACACGAGGATTCCGTACCAGAAACGAAATATAACTGGTTTTTCGTATTTAAATCCCCTTACATATTTATTTTATGGGATTTCCGTATTTATCGTATTGTATAATTTATACTTTTCGATAATTTCTGCAGCCTCAGTGCGTCTACGTTCACAGACAGCAATGGTACAGTACATTACATACAACGAGCGATGATAACTTCTGTCTACGATCTTAGACGAGGCGTCTCTTCCCGCTCCGGTAGACAACTCGACCACACCTCGTTCAATATTCGCACTTTCTCGATAATCACTTGTTTTTATGGTTACCGCTGTAATTCCGCAATAAATTGCGCAGTGTATAAGTTAGTATGATAAGATATAGAAACACATTTGGTATGCGCCTTATGTAATATAAATATGTATATGGAATAGTTATAAAATCACACCAATAATAATCATGGAAAATTTTACTGATGTGAAAATATTAGGCTTTACGTACATCAGCCAGACATAAACCAGGTGTGACTTAGAGAAAATATGATACATAAACTCAAATGAAAAGATTGACTTATTTAAAAATAAATGCTTATTTCACATGTCATTTTTACATATACGTTCTTTTTTGTTCACAGGACGAGCTGGAGACATTGCGTACAAAGCTGGATAAGGCAGAAGGGGAGCGAACACATTACAAAAACGAAACTGAGAAACTAGAGACTAAGGTCAGTATATTATTGATGATTATATAAAGAATTCTTTAAATTTAATGGTTCAATAGATGATATCTATGAATGTAGTTTTTTTTCTATGGCATTAATATTTAATAAAACGTTTTAAGTATTAAGTTGGTCATAAAGGGGCGTTGTAAAAAATAGCGGGCCATGTCAGAAAAATGTTTGGGAAACACTGCTTTATGCGGTGATAGGACTGTGTTCGACGTGTAGTTCTTTCGACACTGATTTTTTGTCATCGGTCGATAAGTTAAACGGTTTGGGTTAATTTTATTATTAAATAATATAAAATATTCGTGGGGATTGAGCGTCCGAAAAAAAGACCTACAAACAAACCACGGCCTGTCAATACCTACAAACAAACATAACATCTAGGCCGTGCTTGTTTATAGAACATCTGAAGAAGTAAATAAAAAGGTTGAATACGGGTGGTCTACACGACTATACAGACGCTCAGTAATAAGGTCAAAAATATTTTTTAAAATAGTATCCGTTGATAATTCCCACGAAACTGGAAGAGTTAATTTCACCAAAGCACATACTAGGGGTCCTACTATGTGTTCTTAAGTGCGATTGAAAGGTGGATAGTCATGATTTCATTCTTTTGGTTGTCGATAGATTGCTTTAGTGCTTGAAATGTTTAAAACGATATGTTTTGCACCAACAGTCCTATAGATACTGTTATTGATTTTTGACTATATATTATGGTTTCTACCTGTGTAATTTTAAAAATAATTAAAAATAAGAAGTCCATCGTAGACATCGTAAAACTGCAATTGCCTCATCTTGTACAGATCATGGTAAGACCCCAGCTAACTATTGTCGGTGGCTCACGTTTTTGTGCGTCAAAACTGGTTACATTTATCATGAAAATAAAACATACTCGCTCTTAATCGTATAGCGACTAGACCATCGTAGTAACCAATATTTTTTGTACAATATTCTTTTGTTATCATTATGAAAGCCATCATGACTAATAATGGTCTTCATTAACGATACTTTTTGAAATATAAATGTTATCATTCATCATTATTAAATATTTTAAAATTCGAAAAATTTATGTCTGTTTCAAGTATGGAACTTGTTTGGAATTAACAACGTATCGATTCAAACATAAAATAGACTCACGAATATTGACTAATCACCGTTTTCGTTCTGAAAAGGTTATGCTTTTTACACGTACGTAAAATCGTTCCTTTTGTAAAGTTTTATTTATTTTTATACTATTACATATTATACTTTTGTATTGAATAATATGAGAAGTATGCGTATATGTGTATTTCAAAGTGTTAAATCAAACACCGCTTAAGGAAACGCCTGGTTATAATAAAAGTGCAAATTTGCATTTAGAATTATATAAGGCGTTTTCTTGACTCCTTAATCAGCAGACGTTTGTTTATTTACAAGATTAATTCGACAAAATTAATTTGAACTTCGTATATTTGTTACATTCGTTATTTGGAATAAGCTATAGGAATAAATGAAATATATGAAATGAAAAAATGAGTAGCTCGGTGGCGTAGTGGATAAGCGCCACGGCCCGCGATCGTAGTCGTTAAGCAACTTTCGCAAGGGTCGGTCACGGGATGGGTGACCAAAAAATTATTATCTTGAGCTACTCCGTGCTTCGGAAGCCACGTTAAGCCGTTGGTCCCGGCTGCATTTGCAGTCGTCAATACCCTCCAATCCGCATTGGGCCAGCGTGGAGGGTCATGGCCCATCCTCCTTAACCATCCATAAGGAAGGCCTGAGCCCCTGCAGTGGGGACGTAAAAGGGCTGGTGTGGTGGTGTGGTGGATATATCTGCAGAAGCGAATTTGCAAGCTTAACCGCCCTAGGCTATGTACTCTTGATAGTACTAAGTACCCCCTTTTTTACCGACTTTAAAATCTAAAAGGAAAAGGAGGTTATATGTTCGATGGAGATGTAGGATTTTTTAAAATGTATGTTCATCGATGTTTCCATCAATTGTTGACCGATTTTCTAAAATTTTTTTTTATTTCACAACTCAATGAACTGATGTGGTTCCATTTAAATTTTATCGAATTTGAATCAAAAGTGTTCCTTTTACAATAAAATCAAATGCGCTTTTCAGCTGATATCACCTAAATATTTGAATGATATACATATATGATATGATATGATATAGCTAAAAAAAGATTGCGCATTTTGGATTCATTCATAATCCCAAAGGAGGATTTCTATATTCAAGGAGTATGTATATATTTTTTATCAAAGTAGGTATGTTCTTCGATTTCTTTCCCCGCGAATCATGTATATCCGTAGACGAAAACTTTTATAAATCGGTCCAATAGTTTCGAGGCCTATCCAATGCAAACAAACAAGCAATCAAACCTTTACTGTTTATAATATGAGTATCTCCATTACTAAGACTTTCGATATTTGATATTTTTAGTGTTACCTATTATATATAAAAATAACAATGTTACTAAAAAGCATGAAATAAAAACTTTTTTTAAATAGAACCGACTTTAAAATAGCGATAAATAATACTTATGTCTAAAGCTGCTTATTCAAGAAAATGCTGTTAAAGTCGAGCCCCTATCATTTAATAACCTACAGACAAACCGACGCAAGACATCAATAGCATTTTCTTGAATAATACGCTAGTTTGAAGTCGGTTCTATTTTTTGAATAAAGTTTTTATTAGTTCTTTTATTCTACCTTCTTCATATGAATTTACTTTCTTGACAACGTTATTGAAATAGATGTAAAAAATTATAACTATATAAGTTATATCTGTAATATCATTTCTTGTTTATAACATCTTGTGGTATATGATTTCAAATATCTGAGTAATAGTTCGTTATTATATAAAAATATTTCGAAATGAATATGAAATAACAGCTGTTTTCTTCATCCGTTTTATTCTTATCTCAACTCAGTATACTTATATTAATTTAAGAATTCGTCTTGGATAAACAAGTGAGACTAGTTCCCGTTATTTCATCACTCAGCTTTAGTCACATAATATTTTAATATGACCACCCAAGGCCCGAGCCTACTATGGCCTATTTACCCTAAGGTTAACCGCCATTGTATACGTACACGCCCGGATTCCTTGCGGGGAAGGCAGAGGACGGGGCGTCCACAATTCCTGAAAATATTTCTTCTGTAAAGTTAGTTCAGATTCAACGTTGGAATTTTGTAGAAATTCCGTCATGATACCTCAGTAATTAGAGCAGAAAACTGCTCTAATTACCTCAGTTAGAGCAGAAAACTGTTCTAATTACTGAGGAGGACTGACGAATTGAGACTAAGATTAGGATCCTGAAGCAGGAGGTGTACTTTGAAAAACGATATACAAAGTGTAACTCATTTTTTTTTTCAATTTTAATAAGTAATTTAATATATTCCAAAAAGTATATATCTACGCCATCAAGTCAAGTTCATCTTAAACCGACTATTTTCTCCAATTTGTTTTAAACCTTAAGCTCTAAATAAGTTGTTAGATAAGTTCTAAGTCGGTTGTGAATATTTCAGATTATAACAACCAATTGTGTTGCTCTATGTACAAAAATTAAAATAATACTCTACGATTATCTTGTATAGTGTTGTGATTTAGAACCTCTATGGCTACAGGTTCTAAAACAAACCAGAGCACGGTAGTATTAGAGATCAGAAAAAAAATTACACACCTGATAAGCTCAATAATTTATTTGGTTCTTTATACGTCAACTAAATGTTAAAAAATTGTGTTCCTACTACTCATTAACTATGAGTAGTATGAACACAATTTTTATATATCAAATTTTAATTTTTTATATATACCAACCATCTGCAACTACAAACCGCAACTGCCTGCTACTCCATTTATTTTACAAAAATGCAAATTTCTTTTTATCTGAACTAATCAGTAACCGGTAGCGCATCGATTGTAACAATAGAAACAATGGCAAAAACAATTAACATTACGTAGATCCATTCGACAGGAACGGTCCGCCTACTAGAACTTGATTCTAGGTCTCCTTGAGATGTTGTGATGAAGGATACTGCATTTTACGTTAGTGTCTATGCGTCTTTGCCTTATGATAGTACTTTCAAAAAAGTAAGGAAGTGTACAGGAACGTTTGTAGTGAAATTTAAAGTGGGTTATAATCGTCTTCTAGATAAAATTCTCAATTCGAATAATAAAAAATAGAGCCGTTGTACCTAGCTGTTTCCAAATTCAAAAATAAAAAAGTCATCCACTTTTGTTGTTATTGTGCTATTGGCGGGAATATGAATAGACTATATAAATGGCATTGAAATAGTGAATATTATACAATTATAAAACTGCCATTATTGTAATAGTAATATATAAATTAATAATAATAATATATAAACTGAAAGCCTTGTTATAGTTTCGTGTTCAAATGCACTTTTCAAAACTTCTCGTTAATTTGTGTACTAATATGCATGTAAGTTTAAAAGTGTTACATCATTTTACATACAGTTTCAAATTAGATTAAGATTGTGACAGGGTTTATATATTAAAAAGCATATAGAGTAATTATTAAGAACCGGGTTCCTTTCCAAATCCGGGGCCATCACTGAAAAATAATATTCACTGCACGTAAACTTTCGTATTAATTGCCCTTTTCTGTTATTCGCGTAAAATTCATTAATCGAGAAAACACGTCTGAAATAATTGAAAAATTACTTGTGAACTATTACCTTTTAGGCTAACTAAATAGGTTGCCGGGTACAATCAGAGAGATTTAACAATATGCCCTTTTTTTAAAAAAAAATATCTTTAATGCGGGAAAAATTCTTAATGAAAAATATTTAAAAAATCCACTTATCTAAGATGGGATTCGAAACCATTTTCCAGTATAGCATTGTAAATGCAATATTGATCAAATATAATAATTAGAACAAAATTTTATCTTTATAGAAAGTTTAAAATATGTGTATATATTTCTTTCAATTATTGGGGTAGATTTCTTGAACACTAACAAGTAACAAGTACTTGAATAATTCGTCAACCC